AGAGCCTCGTAAATAGGCTATAAACAACGCCATCATCACTATCAACCAATCATCAATCCATCGAGATAATCATGTAAATACTTTTAATTACCAACACGATGTAATACATTAACAAATTACATAAATCAAACAAAATATGAGCCTACAGCAAGTTAACCGTCCACAATATAATATTTATTAATTAGTAAACACATCGAGTTGATGAAGAGCCAAATTAGGCTCCGCGAGGTAATCAAAGTAATAAAAGCAACTTGATTTACACCAGCTGACCGTAATGGGTTGGATAAATTGACACCCTTGGTAACTAACAGGTTGTCTCGGGTGTGAAGTTGAGAATGACGATCAATTAATTTGTACGAGACCGCCGCGATGTGTTATCAAGGTGACGCCGCGTTGTGTGCGCATGATGTGGCGTTTATATAGTATTCATCAAGGAAATGACAATTGATAGTAATGGTTTATATATCTAGTCGTCCAGTTCAAAGTATGTAGTTTTTCTGTGACCCACATTTCAGCAATTTAATGTTCTATGAATTGTAGTAATAAGACGTCGTTGAGAAGATTTATATGCCACATTAAAAGAACACGGATACAAATAAGTGGGTCAATGTTTAATATTTGTATGTAACTTATCTCAACGATGTCCAATGGACTGCATTTTGCACTGGAGTCAGGTAGCACAACAATGTGCTGAAACTTGGATCGCAGAAATAATATTTTATTTGAATTGGTCGACATAAATGTAATTCCAGTTCAGGGACACTTTTATGTTTCATAATGTCGAAAATACATTAATAGTTCTCCAATTAATCTTACATACGTCGTTATGCATCTTCCAATAAATCTCTTAAGACGATTTGACGCATTGTAGCCAGATTAGTGAGTATCTTAGGCACATATTGGTTCAAGACTAATTTAAGCTTAGATTAAGACTTAAGACTGGATTAAGTTTAGAACTATCAATAAATTGAAAAAGCTATGGACATTGACATAAATACATTGATTTTATTTTGTAAAATATTAAAGATTAAAGTAAAATATAGTTATTTTAGAATACTTGAATGTCAAATATAATTATGACTGGGAATTATAGTGTGCTATGTTGTATTGTATTGGCGTCCACCGAAGCATGCCCTTCTTGCCACTAAAGAGGTAAACCTATGCCCGTATCAAAGTATTCTATATAGCCATGGACTCTTATAGTCATGTTATGGTAAATGCAAATGAATTGTTCATATGGATTCATTCCTTTTAAAATCATTAAATTTTATGTAGCATTGTTAGCATTAAAATATGATCTATGCAATACTGTAAGAGTGCAACCGACAAGTAGGGTTATGGTTTATGTTGTTCCATAGAAATAAAAGTTTGTCCAAGCTTATGTTTAGCTTTCTGCATGAAATAACGAGATTGTAATAATTGGAGTATAATTTTTGATTTTAAGTGTGCCTGACTCAAGCTCCTTGCACTCTATGTAATATGTCTGATATGTGCTATTACCGTTGTTGATAGCTAGTATGAATCTTCAATTAAAACATTGTAAATTGTTTGGATATTAGAGTGAATTAGGTCGTATGTCGTTGAGATGGACAGAAAACGTATACAATACATTTAAAAAGTATGCAATTGTTGAAGTGAAAATAACTGATTTGGAAAGTGGATTATTGCAAAAAGATGTATCATTAGTCATTGTCATTTCTGGGCGTTGAAGGATGTCGTTGGATGACAGGTGAACTGAAGCAATCAAATAAATGGGTTACGCAACATTTGACGTCAATAACATCAATATAAGGAATGAGGTTCCTATTGAGCTGAGAGCGAAAGCGATTTTATAGAGGTCAACGTGCTGTCCATCTATATCATTGGAAAGTCAGTGGTGGTTAAAAATTCGTATTTCATATAATTTGAATATTCTGGGTACACATTTTTTGGAGTGTTGTTAGAATATTGGTTAGCTTTCAGGACTTCGGTGCGGGAGGGACGGGTTCAATTCCTGAAACATCCACAAAACTTTTTTGGGTTAGGACCACTTTACCACCAAGTTTAGGACCACTTCAAGTGTTTGCAAATTGAATAAAAATGCTATTGGTACGGAAACAAAAAAAAAAACTAAATATTTTTTTTTTTTAGAAAACCTAAATATTTTAGTTGAAGAAGTATCAAGGGGCTGTAATTTGGGTAGCCCAGTGGTTACAGTGCTCACCTTCAAATCTGAAGGTCGCTGGTTTGATTGTAAGCGAGATTAACTGGACCCAGATGCAATTTGTTATTTGGCTAATCATTAAAAATGTTTATTAAGTATGGCATTGCATCAAAAGGTTGACGTTAGTTATATTCAGATTAAGGTTGCGATATTTTCCTCATAAAAAAATGTGAAAAATGCCACAGCCGTATATATACACAATATGCTAATGGTATTACAGATATAGAGCTTAAACTTTCTGTCACGTCTGCCGCTGTTACATAAGCAAAACTGCAACTTATTTCTTACAATAATGACGTCAGCAAACCATTGGTTAAACTCTTGGAACTTTACCTAACAAGCTGTTGAAAACATAATAACAGATCTTTTAGAAAGCAAGAAAGAAATTGAGTCGGTGACGAAATCAGAAATACCAACATCTAGCATGTGATAAATCCAACCACTGATCAGGTCCACTTTCCCCAATTCTGCAGAGACCTCGACACCAGAAGAAACCGGTTGTATTATCAAAACATATACACAGGAACTAGGGTCGCGGACGTCACCGTTGCGTGGAACCGGTTCCGCGTTGCGTCCAGATCATCGGTAGCCCTCTGTGTTTTGGAACTGGTTCACTTTTCGTACGTTTTATGAGTTTAATTCCCTCACAAAATACCCTACTGGTTCCTCGACCTTGAGAATGTAGACTTGTCGATTGGGTTTATTAATTTACTGAAATAGGAGATACTTTCTGCGTTTTTATGCGTGTTTTATATCGCCTATAACATTTACAACTTTGATTTAGAGACCTGTTCCAAATATTGGGATTGTTACCGTCTGGTTACGGCCTTGTATAAGATAACACCAGTTATCAATAGATAGCCCAAAAAAATAATGGTATCTATGTCAGGAACCGATAACTTTGGATTTACACCAGTGACGTTCATAATACTTATTGTCGAGTACTGTAACCACTCAAGTATACAGAAAACAATGCAACATACAACATGCTTTCGTACTAAGCAATATAATGAAGTTTCCTTTAGCTACTAAATCGGTAGCTTCCCATTACATGTATAATCGACAATCAATCAATATACTTTTAAAGTGCATATTAGTTATTAAAATATTTAGATTGAAAAATGTTTTGTTAGACAGGTAATGAATAATGAACACGTTTACTGTACTTACTGATCAAATGCATTCAGTTCTGTCAAACCAGGATAAACGATAGAATTTTAATTATTTTCTTCAGTTCCTAGAAAACAAGTCATATAATCAGTACATTGGAAATGACAAAGATTTATCAATTAATTTTTAAATTCCTGGTACACAAATTATTAAGGTTCAGTGTAATAAATGTCGCTGTAGAATTCGAGCAATTTATGCGATTAAAATCCACGGAATTGTTCCAATTTACTGAATAGACAGTCTATTATATGATATTATTTGTTTACTATTATATCATTTTAAATATTTTGAGGAAAAGTTCTCGATCTATATTTTTAAGTGTCATTTAGAAGCAAAGTATGTTTTGACGCAACACCTATGGGATAAGTAACTTATCCATTATTATGTGTTATTTTTTTAAAGAATAGTGGTTAATACATGATTATCGATTGTATCAATATCAACTCTTTCATTAACATGCCGAATGAACGCATTGTCATCAGTGTAAATATTTTATTTGAAATACATTTTTTGTTGGATATCCAATACAGAAAATGTTACTGAAATTATTAGCCTACGAGTAATATTTCACGTATACCAGACGAGGGTGTGATGTGTTATCCATGTGTATGAATAGAGTTGTTTGTTATCTGTTATTTTATAGTTGTCCTTTCTTACAATTTATCAAATAAATTGTGTTTCATTTGTCCTATCTCGTATGATTCAATTTATTTTTTTTTTACAAAAAATAAAATAAAATCTAGAACAACACACGCACAGCTGGATTGCATTAGTATTGGAGTTGAAGCGCAGGCACCAAAATTGAAGACATGCCTTATATCTAAAAACATTTATAGAACAACACGATTTGGCGAGTAAGAACAAAACTATGAGTAGGTAACGTTGTTGTTGTAAGCTCAAATCTTCAACGATCAACAATTGTTGGGAAAAAGTGTTCATACCTTCGGGCACTTGCCAGATTACCTTTGATTTTAGATCACCTTGAACAAAAACCTCAACATTGTGTCTAATTCATTTCTTGCCAAGGTCACTTTTTAAGATTCTAGCAGTACAGAATCCAAAATCAAAAACCCATTTTTCATCACACTGTCCACAAAACAGTAGTGTTTAGTTATCTAATTCGTCCACGAAATCATCGTTTTCTGTTAACTCCAAACAGGGCACAGAAAATAGTAATTATTTCCGTTCGCTAACCTCAAAATTGTATTGGTAGTTTATGGAAACGCTGCTAATCAAACGATATTTTAAGTTATGTTTGTAAACTACAGAAATTTAAACATTTATAACGACTTTGTATAACATCAAATTATGTGGTATAATTTTGTAACGATTAGAAGATTATTTCCACAGTATGATGAAAAAAGTGTGTCTTTTTGGTACTTAATCAAATTTTCAAACTCGGCTGCGCCTCACTTGTAAAACACGATTGCGCACCAAAAAGAGCCACTTTCGGTCCAAGTGATGAAAACTACAATTTTGCACCCTCAACTACACATGTTGTACGGTTCACCGCAGGGGCGTGGTTTCGCACCGTTCCGATTGTTACGCAAGTTGCTCGTCTCCAATCAGCTGAGCAGGAGCCGAGTCCAGTTTAAAGAAAGTGAATTTCTCCTCGGGAGTCAGTCCGCAACCCCACAAGGTCAGAGTGTACCACGCCTTGACACTGGATGCTGGAGACCTAGGAGCTGCTGGGACATTGTCAGGTAATGTGCAGACTTACATATTTAACGTAGTGTATACGTTTACAAATTTATGAATTTAGTCTTTTACAGCCAAAGCATTAAGGTCTTTTCGTGAACATATATTTATATGTTTTAAAAACGGTTCACGTTACAGATACGGAAATCCCTGTGGTTAGTAAAAAGATTAAAATGTTTGTATTTTGTAAAATAATATGTAAATGTGTAATATCATGGTGTATTTTTAACTTATCCTACGTTTAGTACTATCAAACCTTATCTAAATTGAAACAAATAGAACTAGATACATTTTGCTACGATTACCAATAGTATAAATTTAGTTTATTGAAAATCTCAAATTACTTTGGTTTGTAGAAAATGTTTTTTTGTTTCGTAGTTGTTATAACGTTGCCACTTATAACAATATTTTACGTATAAAATATCCGTAGAAAGAGTTGGTAAAACTTTACTCGCCTGCAAGGAGGTACATTCAACCGTGTTTTGACTTAACCACGGGTTTTTAAAGAAAACACCGACCACTGATTTACTCAAGATTGATTTTGAACGTAATTTTGCAAAGATTTTTAAGGATAATTATGCAAAATACCCAAATAAATTTGGTTTTAACTAATTTTTACTGAACTGAGTTGAACTTAAAGCTCGGTCTAAATGAAAGGAACTACATCAAATCGTAGTTTGAACAAAATCTGTTTATTGAAATACAAAATACATAACTTTAATAGTTAATTAATACCAAAGAGTTTATTTATTTAATTTGTAAAAAACCTTCGGTATTTGTATTTATTGTACAAAAACTATAGAATCATTCATAAACAACAGTATTCAGGCCACGCAAATGTATAAGTGTTTGCATCATAAGAAACAAAGTGCTAGATCTGTCTTTGTGGAAAAATAATTATAAGTTTATCACAAATGATATTTCTACAATGTTTTGTATGTATCGTTTTAAAGTTAAATTCGGAAAATAAACTAGAACAAACCTCCATTAAGATTTATAGCCCTTGAACTGAACCATCTAGGTGGAAGACTTATGCTTGCACTCGACAAAGAGATAAACCACTAAAGCGGTTTGTAGGTTAACCCTTTGTTTGAATATAGTGTCTGTCTAAATTACCCCTTGGTAAATGGACCAGCCATGTTGTTTGACCAACCGAAAATACAACATGCAGAATTTTTCTGTATTTTCATTGTTTTTATTTTAACTAGTGTATTATTCGAGCTATTTTGCCAATATTTTTAAGAGGAGGGTGATAATGAGTGTTGCGTTTCGATTAAGATATTGAGGCTAGAGTTTATTCCACTCATTGTAAAACCACCCATTTAACCGTAAAATTTTTAGAATCGTTGTGAAACGGATTATATCCAAAACATATTAAAGATTATCATGATAGAACATTTCTTTACATTTAAATATGTTTAGTTTTATTTTAAATTTGTATAGGCGACATTTTGAAATAAAAAAAAGCCAATTCACATCTAATCTGTTGTTACTTACAAACCTCAGAGCACACATAGTTATATGACACACGCCACATTACGGAGAGAAATAATGTCGAAATTAAATAGTTTAACTATGTTTTGCTTGGTTTTGTAATAAACCTAATGGTTACGGAGAAAATTCCCAAAAAATTGAAATTTATAATTCCCACGTTACTATTATGAAGAAAAGTAAACCGTTGTAGTTCGCTTGTTTATGAACATACTTTGATAAAGTTAGGAAAATGCATTTATTTATTTATAAAATATTAACATTTTAGAAGAAAAAAAAACAACTTTTTATCCTCCCTGTTGCAGCAAACCTAAGTACTCGTTAATCTAATTATATTTAAATAGGGAATAAACGTGGTATTTTTAAGGATAAATTTTAGTGTAAATCCAATCAGGCGATTGGAAATTCGCTTAGTCTGCAGGTTTGGTGCAGCGGGGTTATTAACTCTTAGACTATTAACAATTCTAAAGCCGGTAACATAGTAGGCTTAATTATCATTCATAGAAGCAAATTGGATGTCAAAGCTAACAATCTTGATTCTCTGTGCTATATGGATGGAATTAATTACTAAAACAAATCTTTTATACGTTGCAATTATTGTACATATAAACATATTCTATAGAAAAAATAAATCCTACTTGATCGTTTTATCCCAATTTTATTTCTTATCAATCATAAAACCAAGAATTTCAGTTGAGTTTTTTTATAAACAATATACATATTTATTGTCTTATTATCTTTCTTTTTTCCTAGGACGCTAGGCACGGACCCGGGATTGTTTTTCACATTACATCAGGCGCTACCTAGGGGCTAGGGCATTATCACCTAGATTAAATCCATTGGTGATTTGGCGGAATTTGAACCCGGGACCCCAGGAAACGGAGTCCCGCGCTCTAATCACTGGACCAGCTCGCTACCCCATTATCTTATTATATGAGCAAGGAAAATGAAATTGGGTAGATATTAACCATTATAAAAATTTCAGACAGCTGAATAATTTTTTTACAGGAATTACCATAGAATATATGTATATTTATTCTTTTAGTTAATCTAAAACCTTGATATTTGATGTAACACGAAGCTTTTATTGTTTACAGTAAATGGCCCATTCTGTTTGGCTTTGTTTCAAACGTAATGTACATTATATACAATATGAGGAAACTGCATTTGACAGAGACCCATTGTCTTGAAGATTCAATTTATCTTTTTATTTGCCTCTATAGCCTCTTGTTTTCAAAAAAGTATTCTTTAATCTAGTTGAAACATTAACACTTGAATGGGTGTATTAACAACAGAGTAATGTGTCTGCCAGCTTCCAGCCTTCTGTTGATTTTGTAGTCAGTGATGTGAAATTAAAAATTAATTCGTATTCGATGAAAAAATGGTGCTACAATTGCAAAGCAATATAATTTCACTAAAAATAATTTATATAGTATTTAGTTGAAAAAGATTTAACACGATCTTGTTATAAATCTGTTGATTTCGGTTTGATAACCAAAGTTAGACAACAATCAACGAAATAAACGACATGGCAAAAATAACGATACTGACAAAAATAATATGATTTTTGATTTTATAATTAAGAGTGTGTATAATATTATTGATTACATTTTTGTCTAGAAAAATAGGCATCTTTAATAAACAACTTGAATTTGTTGAACCAAAAACCAACATTTTGTCAAAGGTTGGCTGATAAATCAGCGCTGGTAGATTTCTTTCAATCTAGAGGCATCTTAAACCACGCTGAAAGATGAAAAGGAACCCTTGGAAGTAAATGAACACCCAATCTAGTCGAAAACTCTAAGCGAAACTATCTGTCTTTGAATTTATTTGATTCATTCCTCACTCAATAGCAATGATGGATTTCAATAGGGTAAATGTGAAGTCAATTACCACATTTTAATACAGAATTTCCATTTAAAAGGTCGAAATTTGTGATTTAAATATTTTGTTCAGGAAACAAGTAAATAAAGAGGTTGTTAGGTGAATAAAATCTACTTGTGGTTAAGTGTTATTAGCCTATGAAACTTTATGACGACTATAACTTGAGGAGTATAGCCTACACCTTCTATTAAACCTTACTAGGTATATAATAAAATAAACAGTTACCTTGTTCAATATCCTTTGGTGCTATTAGATGACGACCGGTTTCGTGACAACAATCACATCATCGGGTCAATCCTCGTCTAATCGGTCGTCATCTAATAGCACCAAAGGATATTGAACAAGGTAACTGTTTATTTTATTATTAAAATTTTCAATATCCAGTGGTAGGAAAATGAACTCTTTCTAGATAGTCTGGGATTTACCTTTAATATAACACTTGATAGATTGTACAGTGTAGCCATTAAAACTGGTCTAAATTAAATGTAATGTGAATGTTTATTAATTTGTAAATAAAATAACCAAATAACTTATTGATCAGCAGTGTACGTGTTATTTAATTTACGGAAAGATAAAAGAAACGTCTTATAACATATTTTAAGTGTTCTAAGACGTTTCTTTTAATAAAAGAGCCCTCAAATCGGCATGTAATATGGCCTAGTATGATGATTATCTAGAAAACCCCTACATGCTATAAATACCTGCAGTTGAATTAGTTCTTGGCCCCAACTTAATTTATAAGAGCGAAACCTATAATTTAATTTAATCTTTGTTTGAAGATTTTAAAAATTGTCAACGGATTTATGTAACAACACATATTACACGGTAAGAATTCACAATTAAAAATCCTTAAGTTGGCCTAGGGCAAACTAACTATTATAAAAAGTAATGAGTCCATTCAATACAAAATTAACAAATTAAAAATGTTACTTTAACTACACGGTAGTATAATTTAAGCTAGAGCTATGTTTAGAAACACTGTTTAAATAATACTAAATTTATTCCATTTCACAATCTAAATATCTGAAATACATTTGCATTTATTTGTTAAGCCAACCTCTAACACATTTCCCATTACAGCCTTTAATGGCTTTGAGTGTTTGATACTGTTAGCAAATACTGTATAATCCATTTAACTGTCAGACTCAGCAAAGTGGCTACGCGTTTCAGGTTGTATCGAGCAAAGAGTATTCATTTACGCTGATACCTATTTCAACCCGAATAATGATGCAGATCGGAAGCGCTTGCAAAAAGATTCGTCCTTCTTTAGTTTTTGTGAAGTATACGTTTATAAAATGTTTTAATCGGAAAAAGAATTCTTGAGTTTATTTTATATGTTTTAAGATCTTAAACGAATCTAAAACGGGTGTGTTCGTATGGGAAATCTTAATAGCACTAACCGAATTGCGAGTACCGGGTGTCCAAAAAGTCTTGGCCTGATTTAATAGATTTGGTGAACGAAAACCCCCAATTCGACACTTAACTTGTATGCCTTGTTTGGGAATTCAATCAAGTTTTATTTAATGAAGCTGGTAACACCCAAACACAGCTGATTGACAGCAATACAGTCATGGTCCAATACAATAACAAATCAGAATTGTGAGTTTACAAGATCAAATCAAATCAAAAT